AAGCTTATTTTACACTCCGTTTAGCACATAGTGAATGAAACACAACATACACTTGGCGGAAACATCCATTTCCAAGTACAGAACTTTATTACCTGAATGATAGATGGGAGTTATGTAACACCATGCAGGGAGACTACTGAACACATCAGCAGCAAATTGTTCTCTTTCATCTGAGGAAAGCTTTAAAAATGTTTTACCTATTAGAACCTTCACACTAATAATTACAGGTAACATGGCAAAACAGCAACTGGATCTGAGAAATGAAAACTGCCTTTATGAAAAATCAGCAATGGGGAAAAAAAAGCAACCAGGGTCCTTTTGTGACAACTGAACTTTTCCCTGGACCAATAATTATGCTAAACCAGTTTATGCTGAAACAGTTTTACTGCAATCTTAGTAGCACAGTCTACATCCCATGAAAAAAAAACAATTAAAGAAAAAAAAAATCACCCAAATAAAAGAATAACGAGGGTTGCAAAATGTCTTTCTGAATAGGAGGGGAAATTACTGCATGTTATAGTTTTGTAAGGGCAGTGGAGCCTTCTAAAAAAAGAAGGTATTTACATGTCTCGGTTTAATCATAAATCTCAAAAATAAAAGTATTCTACTTTTTAGGATAGTGGGTACAGCCATGAAAATCATTCCTTTATACCTCCTGGCCAACTGTGCAGCCAGAACCTCTGGTTTATAGTACAGATACAGCCTAATAATAAGGATCTATTTATTCCTAGTGCTTAATGTTATGGGCCCGTTCATTGCAAACTGTATGCAGGTGTTCCAGGCTTGAAGACCATCATCGGTGCACTGTATGGATGCCATGGGCTCTATGGAGAAGGGCTTGGGGAGCAATGTCAAAGTATAACCAGACATGTTATGGGGAGGAAAGACAAAAGGCCCCTCAATAAACCCACACAAAGAACAGTAGAGCCTTCTAAAAACAGAAGGTATTTACATGTCTCGCTTCTATTAAAAATCCCCAAGAAAAGAGGATTATTCTTCATTTTAACATAATGGGCAGAGCCATAAAAATCATGTCTTTATACCTCTTGGCCAACTGAGCTGTCAGAACCGCTGGTTTATAGCACAGATACAGCCTATCCTATCATTATGGGACAATTCATTTCAATCTGTATGCGGGTGTTCCAGGCTTGATGGTCATCTTCAGTGCAGTTTATGGATACAATGGGCTCTATGGGGAAGGGCACAGGGAGCAATGTCAAAGTATAACCTGATATGTTATGGGAAAGAAAGACAAAAAGACCCTCCCTAAACCCATACAAAGCACAGTAGAGCCTTCCAAAAACAGCAAGTATTTATATGTCTCACTTCAATCAAAAATCCCCAAGAAAAGAGGATTGTTCTTCATTTTAAGATAGTGGGCAGAGCCAAAAACCATGCCCTTATAACTCTTGGCCAACTGAGCAGCCAGAACCGCTGGTTTATTGCACAGATACAGCCTATCATTATGGGCCCATTTATTCCAAACTGTATGTACGTGTTTCAGGCTTGCATACTGTATGCAGGTCTTCCAGGGAGATTTACTCTTTCCATTTGCCCTGGTGACCTGGGATTGAAAGTGCAGGAACCCCAAAACTTTGAGTTGTCACGAGTACATTAGACAAATCTTAGAGTGGAGACATTTGTTCCCTGGGTAGCATTTTCCCTCTTTTTGGAGAAATAGGTTTTCATCTCCTATTGTGTCAGGACAGGAAATGAGAGGAAACCTCCCCAAAGGGATAAAGATGGCAAAAAAAGGATAGGGTTTAACCCTTACCATCTCAATCTAGAATGAAAGAAAATTTTTTGACATTACTTATAATTTGAAGAGGAACTCCAGGGCTTAACAAAATTATCCTTGCATTGGGGCTACCCCTGCACTGAAAAGGATCAGGTGAATATATTTTTTGCATTCTGGCCCTTAGACCAAAACAAGCAATTAACCCTTGCAGTGCGGTGCTAGCCCCACTGCAAAGGCTAATTTTGTTAATACCTGGAGTTTCTCTTTAAAGCCCAAAGGAACTTTCAGTTTAAAGTAGTTCAATACATTCCAGGTGCATCAAATCTTAAGGTGTTCAATATCTTACATCTTCTTTTCTTTAAATATCAGCAGCAACCCCAGCCAGCATTCTGCATAAGGACACCCTTGCTATCTAAAGGTGATCACCCCCTGCTGTGTCAGAACCAAAGTAGTCCAATCAGTGGTGAGCATGAGCTTTGCTGATTGCAAAACTATAAGTCTGACTCAGTAGGGGGCATGTCAGACCTCTGCAGAGAGATCACTGCTTCCCCACAGACAGCAAGAGCCCCGCTTTGCAGCTGCTGGCAGGGGACAGGCTTTACTACTCAGGCTGCTTTAGAAAACAAACCAACCATAAGACAAGAAACACCTTTTATTTTGATGCATCTGGAATGTATTTAGCTGATTTAAACTAATGGCTCGATGGAGCTTTAAATTACTGACATCTACAGTTTAATAAAGTTTTTTTAAGTTGTCACAGATCACAACTGCATATTAGATCTGTGCCACCCCGAAAACTCCAGATCCAATCTTTACCTAAGCCCGTAGACCAAAATGAGCAGTTAACGCTTGCAGTGCAGGGATAATTTTGTAAATAGCTTGGAGTTCCTCTCTAAAACCCAACTGAAATACTTTTACTGGTTCATCAAATGAAAACGTGATCAATATCTTACAGTTTGTTTTCTTTAAAAATCAGCCACAGCCTTAGTCAAAAGGCCTGTGCCCTGCCAGCATGCTGCCGAAGGACGCCCTTGCTATTTGTAAGGAAGCAGTGATCTCCTTGCAGAGGTCTGATACACCCCCCTGCTGTGTCAGAGCCAAAGTTGTCCAATCAGTGGTGAGCATGAACTTGACTGACTGTAAAGCTATAAGCCTCACTCGGTAAGGGGCATGTCAGACCTCTGCAGAGAGATCACTGCTTCTCCACAGACAGCAAGAGCCCTAATCTGCAGCTGCTGGCAGGGGACAGGCTTTGCTGTTAAGGCTGCTGCAGAAAACAAACCATAAGACATGAAATACCTTTTATTTTGATGCATCTGGAATGTATTTAGCTAATTTAAACTAATGGACAAGTGGGTGAAAATCTATTAATGTCCACTTACATGGGCTGGCGGCG